CTCTCATCTCTTCATTTTATTTGCAAGAGGAATCTTGGGGAGATTTACGCGCGTGTCTTATGTAGTATCTGTATCTCAATCACCCTCCTTTTTTAAAAAAATTTTTATTTATTTTTTTTTCTATCGCGCGCTCTCTCATTTCATTTTTAGAGAGTGTTTGTGTATACTATTTTTGTAACCCCCTTTCGTGACAGCTGACATACACTGTACTTTAAAGCCACTGGCGTTAATAATGGAAGACATAGAGTAAGGCATACCCACAGAAGCCACATGACCTCTGATTGCTGTGAAGATATCTTAACATAGGTTTACACCTCATGCCAAATTAATAAAAATATAACCCTTATTGCACAATTCAAATATATGAATGTACTATTGCTTCAAAATGCATTGCATTGAGAATACAACCACAGTAGACAGGTACAAAAGTAGTCTAATTACAAATACATGTAGTACCTTCTCTTAATATAGGCAGCCAAGGTAATACATATATAACATGTTAAAGGCAAATACTTGATCAAATGCCAGCGTGTGTGTGTATGTGTGTCCATCCGTCCATTCACCTGCACTCCAGATGGTATATTATATCAGGCCCGGTGCTGGTCTGCAAAATTATAAAACAAACCTTGGAAAACATAGCATTCAAGTGACTTGTAAGTATAGTAAAAATAAAACTTAACTATGATTAAATGGAAGCGTGCCAAAAAAAAAAATCAACGTTTCAGTTCACACACAACCTTTCTTCAGGATAAAATCACAGGGACATGGCCAAGCTGTATACATGATTAACAGTTACTGCAATGAGAAAGGGTTAGATGTAACTGTCCAGTCTGTGTAGTAAAGCTCTACATACTTCATGGACTCTTGCATCACTTCCATTTACAGGGTATGGTATAGCCATCTAACTCGGTGTGGGCAGAAGAATGTGTACCAGTTCCTGTCATTTAAAGGTTCAATTTGGAATTGAAAGCACTAGGCCTGTGAGAACTTCAGCTTTTAAATGCAATGTTTTTTTTTTCTCTGACAGGGATCTACATAGATTGATAGACAAACTAAAGGGTTTATATACTAAAGTGAGAATTCAATATGAATTTCAAATTTAAAGTGACTCTCTCACCCCAAACTTACCCATCTCTGATTCCAAACCTGTTTCTCTTTTCTTCCTTTCTGATCTTTTTCTTGTAAAATACATGTATTTTTCCTACACTTGACAAATCTTAAAGCAAGCACCACTAACGTTGTCAAGTAACATTTTCCTACAATACTCACCTGTGTTGCGCCCCTTATCTATAATCTTGTGTTCCATCCTTTGTCCTTCCCAGAGCATCACGCTAAACAGTGGGCATGCATGGGACTTCTGCACAGTGGAAAAAGAGTACTGAAAGTCAACCAGTATACATCACTGCCAGGATTTTAAAAGGGACACTATAGGCATCAAAACCACCTTGGCTTAATGAAGCAGTTATGATGTATAGATTATGCCTCTGAAGTCTCACTGCTCGATTCTCTGACATTTAAAAGTTATATCACTTTTGCTTCTGTCCATACAGTCCTAGTCATACCTCCCCTGGCTGTGACTCACACAGCCTGCTTGAAAAGAAAATGGTTTAATTTTAAATCCGATGTGAATTTGCTTTTAGATTTTTTTTATTTTTTTTATCAAATGCTCTGTAAATTAAACTTTAATCACAAACTGGGTTTAGAAGGCTACTAACAGAGTAAAAGATAAGAAATTCTAAATTAAACAGAATGTGCAATAAAGGAAGCTTATACATTAGATGTCTCTACAGGAAGTGCTTATGAATGCTGTGTATATCACATGCAGAGAGATGTGGCTGCAAAAACCAAGTGAATTAACTGCTAAATGGCAGAGAATTGAGCAGTGAGACGGCAGGTGCATAATCTATACACCAGAGCTGCTTCATTAAGCTAAAGTTGCTTTGGTAACTATAGTGCACCTTTAATGTGGTGGCGGCTTGGAATGCGATTTTTGCCGCAAACGAGCAAGATTAAAGAAAGGTAAAAATTGGGCAAAAATACATGGGGGTGGGGGGGAGGGTAGCGTTTAGGACAAAGAGATGGGGTGCGCAGTTAAAAAAAAAAAAAAAAAAAACTGGTTAGACCCTGTGACAGAGACGTTTTGTTGTTAAGGTCAAAATGGCTGAACAACTCCCTAAGTATGCTATGCTTCCTGTTTGGCTACAGTGGCCTTAAATTTGAAATTCTATTTAAAATCTCAATTTGATAAATTATGTAGGGTGACTTTGCAGATCCCCAAGAAACCATCAGTAGGATTTCGATCGCTTACTGCCATTTATACAAAATGTATTGCACTAACAAGTTCATATTTCCTAGGTCTTATCAGAACAATGTTTCATTATGAGACCATCATCTATTTGCCACTTGATGTAGATGTCCTCCAGTAACACATTTACTCTGATACAAATAATACTCAACCACACAGCAGCAAAAATGCTATTCATTGCTTTCCACCAATTTTAATAATGTGGAAAGCGTGCCCTCTGTTTGAACCAAATAGTAACTTTTTTAAGCCCCGTAGGGACCCAGCTATCATGCCAGACAAGTTCTCCCCACTTAAAACACATCTAGAACTAGCATTCTTTAAATAGCCTAAAAATGTCTATTGGTCTTTCACCTTTATCAGATAACCATTTTGTGCATTTTAGGTTCCAAGTTTTTTTTTTTTTTTTAAATGGGAAATAAATACATTTTGTAATAAGGGCTTGGTTGTTTTGATATTGAATTAGACTACTCCAGGGGGTTTCTGAGAAACTATAGAGGTCTCCGGAAAAGTTAACGCCTTTAACATTCCGGTTTCCTGTAGTGACTGGAAAAGATTTTAGAAAAGGTTTGAGGATGTATTATTTATGTTACGGAGACTTACAATGTAGGTTTCACCTTTCACGCCCTCCAGAAACCCAAATACAATGCTCGCATCTCACAAAGAATACACTGCAAATGGCAGACCTACCTTTCCTTATCACCAGCTTAATAATGCACTTTGCCATCGGCCCACATACTATCCTCAATAAACTGAAAATTGAATTCACCCTTGTCATGTGGGTTCCTCATGTGCTAGACAATGCCAGTCACTTCCAAACTGCTTGTTCTACACCTATTGGGCAATGCTAGCCAGCCAATCACTCTGGTTATGTACTGTGCCCTAACCGCTGCACAAACTGGGTTGCCTATAGTATTTTGCTAGTATACAACCCTGGGTGGCACATTCATTCTCGAAGCTGCTATGCAGCTCCTGTAGTTTGTGCTCACTATTTAGTTAATTGTTCCCACATTATATGAGTATATTCTGTGCACGTTCTGTTAAGGTATACACATGATATACTTAACTCATTGGGAAGACTTATTAAATCATGAGTGCAAATTAATAGATGGTAAGGACCCATGGTTTCCCAGCATGACATTGCCCAGAGCATAACACTGCCTCCGCTGGCCTACCTTCCACCATAGCGCATCCTGCTGCTATCTCCAGATAAACTGCGTGCATACACCCAGCCATCCACCTGATCTTAAAGAAACTTGACTCATCATACCTTCCATTGGTCAATTTCTGACACTCACGACCCCATTGAAGGTGTTTTCAGCAGTAAACTGGTGTTACTATGGGCACTCTGACCGGTCTGCAGCTGTGCGGCCCCATACGCAGCAAACTGCGATGCACCTTTCTACCATGAGCAACACTAAGGTTTTAATCTGTTTGAGTTACAGTAGCTCTTCTGTGTGATCCGACAAGTCTTTGCTCTTTACGTGCATCAAAGAGCCTTGGGCGCCCGTGACCCTGATGCCTGTTCACCGGTTGCCTTTCCTTGCACCTTTGCATGCCTGCAACCCACAAGACTTGTAATTTTAGAGCTGCTCTGAGCCAATCATCTAGCCATCACTGTTTTGGCCCTTGTCAAAGTCACTCAAATCTTTTCTTTTAAAAATATGGTAGCACACTTATCAAAGTAGGTATTTCAGTCTAAATTACAATTATATGCAAAGAGTTTTAAAACCTTTCTTATCCTTTCCAATCACCACTGTTGGTAAATCCACTCTTTATCAAAATAATGTTGTTGTATTGATATAAACATATGTCTATTCCTTTAAGACAAGCATGTCAAACTCAAAGGCTAACAAGGGCCAAATAAACAAAGTTTCAGTTTATGTGGGCCACAAAAAAACCCCAAAACTTCAGTTTTCATTGAAACGTAGGCTTATTATAAAAAGAACTGTATAAAAAAAGTTGCCTAACTGACACTAGACATCCTCACGCTCGTAAGGCTTCAAAGTAAACAAAAGAGCACATTTATTTTAAGGAGATGTGTATTTGCATATAACCAATGTTTGTTCAACTACAATGACATATTAAGAAATGTTTGGTAATGGGATTGAAATGGTGAATGTATGCTGTTGCACAGCTGTAAAAAAAACAAGTCGTTGTCTTGTTGATTTTAAAGTCCTATGAGTGTGTTCTTCACTTTGGCTAAGATCATCAAACTTAATGATCTGAGCCAGACATAATGCTTTCCCAAATGTGCATGTGTGGCAAAAAGCTGCGCTGCCGATCAGCATCACCATGCAGACCAAATCCAATACACTGCCCCCCCCCCACCCATTCTAATACATTGCCCCCAAATCCAATACACTGCCCCTCCTCCATCCACTCTAATAAACTGCCCCTTCACCCAATCTAATAAACTGCCCCTCCTCCATCCACTCTAATACACTGCCCCCTTCACCCAATCTAATACATTGCCCCTCCTCCCAGCACTCTCTCCCCCCAATTTAACACACTGTCCCCCTCCCACCACTGTAACACACTGCCCCTTTCCTCCCTCATATTAATACACTTCCACTCCCCTCCCCAATTTAATATGCTGGCCCCCTTCCTCCCCCAAATTAATTCAGTGCCCCCTCCCTAAAATTAATACACTGCCCCCTCTCTTTCAAATTACCCCTCACCAATTTAACACACTACACAGGAAGGTCCCCCAAGCCCCTCATTCCTTTATTTAAGATGAGCCTCCCGTCCTCCAGTTTCAGCCCTGCTCTTCTTTGCTCAACAGGCCACAGGCTCCTCTGGCACTGCGAGCAGGAGGGAAGGGGGAGTGACTGGCCTGCAGGAGCATGCAACCGGCAGTGGGAGGGGAGACCAGAATCGGACAGGAAATATCTCTCCTGTCTTGCAGCTGGTCGCAGTCACAACAAAAAGTGACCCCAGGGCAGTTGGGCCGCAAATATATCCATTATGGGCCACAAGTTTGACATGCTTGCTTTAAGACACCTTGAGCACTGGTAAAGCCAAAACTCCCAAGTTAAAGGTAAAAAAGCTTCCAATAGCGTACTATCATCTGAACTGTATGCTTTCACCAGATAGCACCCTCAAAACTCCTCTCACCTTGTATTTGGTCAAATACGTCTGCTGCCACACTGTTTTTTTTCCTTTTTTTTAATCCAATCATTTCTGCACCTCATATTCAAACTTTGTTGATCTACCGTGTTTTCCCGAAAATACACCCTACCCCGAAAATAAGCCCTAGCTGGATTATCAGGGTGGGCTGCAATATAAGCCCTACCCCGAAAATAAGACCTAGGCAGGGCCGGCAGCTGCCGGCCCTTTAAATGCCACAGCCAACTGAGCACTCTATAGAGAGCGCTCAGACGGCTGCCTCACCTCCCCTTCCCTGTAGCGTGGCCGAGCTCCTCTCCGGTCTGCGACCCGGCCGGACTGACAGTCCGGCCGGGTCGCTGACCGGAGAGGAGCTCGGCCACGCTACAGGGAAGAGCAGGTGAGGAGAAGATTGGAGGGGGGTGAGGGGGGTGGCAGTATTACAGGGAGAGAGGGGGGGAGGAGAGTATTACAGGGAGAGAGGGGGGGAGGAGAGTATTACAGGGAGGGAGGGAGGGGAGGGTCTCTGGGGGGGTTACACAGCGCGGACACCGGCTGACAGACTGGCTCTAAGCCCTACCCTGAAAATAAGCCCTAGTGTGTTTTTTTTGTGACTAAAATTAATATAAGACGCGGTCTTATTTTCGGAGGAACACGTTATGAAGGGATTCAAAGCAAAACTCTAATTGTGCAGAATATGTAGTTAAACTGTGGCCACATCCCTCACTCTGCATGCACAATTCTCACCTTCAACTAGTCCCACAGTATATGAGTGAATCACTCAACAGAAGAGATGCTACTGCAGTCCTTCTATTGCACAAAAACGATATGTATATATTTTATGTATTTATCAAATCCGTTTAGTTACAGCATCCATCCATACAGGTCCCCTCACTCTGTTTACGATGTCTCTTTCCCAGGCCCCAGAATTGCTGGAACAGCAGAAGTACACTGTGACTGTGGATTATTGGAGTTTTGGGACCTTAGTCTTTGAATGTATAACAGGATTCAGACCATTCCTTCCAAACTGGCAGCCAGTACAATGGTGAGATGACCATAAGCATAATTTTAGATCCTTTTTTTTTCTTTTTTCTTTTTTTTTAAGATTACAGAGCTTATAAAAAGAATTTTTTCTTCATAATTTTTAAATGATATATTTTGGGTTACAGGCATTCAAAAGTGCATGAGAAGAGCAATGAACATATTGTGGTATATGAAGATCTTTCAGGAGTGGTTAAGTTCTCCAGCGTTCTACCAACACCCAATCACCTCAATGGGTAAGTGTTCTTTTCTCTTTGTCAGAGGCTATGTTTAAAAAGCAAAAAAGCTGATTGCACACTGATGTCCTAAATTTCCTCAATACTTCAGTTTGCTTGATTTGTACTTAAGGAGATAAACAATTATTGCTACGTGTGTTCAACCACAGTTTCCTTCTTTCTCAATTATTGCACCAACACACATATACTGTTTAAATAGCTTTAAAGGGACACTAGAGTCACCAAAACAACGTTATCTTAATTAAGCAGATTTTTTTGTGTGTATAGATCATGCCCCTTCAGTCTCATCTCTCAATTCTCTGCCATTTAGGAGTTAAATCACTCATTATACAGTCCTAGTCACACCTCCCTGCATATGATTTGCACAGCCTTACTAAACACTTCCTGTAAAAGAGTCATCTAATGCTTATACTTCCTTTATTGCAAATGATGTTTTATTAAGAGTGTATTATCTCCTGCACTGTTAATGGCTTGCTAGATCATGTAGGGAGCCGCCTCTGTGTGATTAAAATTAAATTTACAGAGCATGAGATAAAAAAAACTTTTAAAGTAAATTACATCTGATTGAAAACATTTCTTTTTTTTTCATGCAAGCTGTGTCAGTCACAGCCAGGGGAGATGTGGCTAGAGCTGCTTAAACAGAAACAAAATCGATTTGACTCCTAAATGGCAGTGAATTAAGCAGTGAAACTTCAGAGGTATGATCCATACACCAATACTGCTTCATTAAGCTAAAGTTGTTTTGGTGACTATAATTTGATGCGACATACATTTATAAATTCTCATTTATTATTTTAAAAAATATGAACAAAAATGTTTTCACAGTTTTGGCATTAATAATAATCTATGCATAAATTAATGCAGTTTAAGAAAAGTAATTCAAAATAAATGTATTCAATCCTGATGTGCAGAGTACATCATATGTCTAAGATGTGAGTTCATTTTTGGTAGTTACAGGTTACAAAAGGAGTACATTTTAAAATTTCTCTGTGAACAATTTTAGAATTTGGTATGTTTGTCTTGTAAGCTTAAAAGCAGAGTATTGAATATCGCCACACAAAAGTCTATTTATATGAAGCATGCATTTAACTACCAATCTCTGCAAAAAAAAATTGTAGTAGAATTGTGTTTTTTCTGATTTAACATCCTAACCCATAACAAGTTTGTTTTAATGTGTATTTTTTAAACCTGATGTGTGCTACTGCTGTACAAAACCCCATATTGTGTTCAGCTACATCTTCTGAATATAACAAAACCCAGATGAATGTCTGTATCGTGATCCTGTGAAGCTGCGGTGCTATATAAGAGACCATTTCAGTTTTTACAGTTAGAAGTGTGATAGATGGATTTGATGTGCCTATTCTTCGTTTTAGGTCTTTTTCATTTTGGGTCATGTGGTAGATTGACAGTTCAAATGTGGATGCCATGTAGATTCTCACATAGTCTAATTTGAACTTCATTGAGGGGCCATTTTTTCCAAGTCTGTGGTATTGAGTTTTTAAAGGTTCCCCCCCCCCCCCATGCTAATTATAAATTTAACCCTAATCCTTGCCCAAATTGTAATGCTATGCCTAATCATCTTAATCCATAGCAATAGTGTTAGAAGGATTTACTCTGCAGATAGATTTCCTTACTGGCCCTAATCTGAATCCTAAAACTAAATTTAAACCTTACCCTAAACATAAACTTAAAATGAAATCTTAAACTAATCTTCATCTATAATATTCCTAATTGCAAGGGTTTCCTAATACTGATATTAGCAAAGGGAATTCTAAGCTAAAGCAGAGTGGTTAGTTGCCTCCATCTTCTGGCTGTTTTCAATATGACAAGCCGATACTTGTTAAACTAAAAACTAGCATGCCACATACATTGTGATTGGTGCTTGGCAGCTGGCAAAGCCAAGCACTGATCAGAATGGCAATAAGAATGCAGGGAGACCCTGTCAGGGTCTGTTCAGACCCTAGGAGTCTTTCAAATACCAGCTGCACACAGAGAATCATTGTGGCTGAGTGTGATTGCTCAGCCTCGTTCTTTTCTATGAATTTGAAGAGCTGTATGCAGAGGTGATGTTCAGCGCTGCCTACAGCTCATTGGTCAGTCTGCAGGCTCTAATTGTGGAGCCCCAGGAATTGATTAATCGATTCCGTCATGCATTGTTAATGGGTTAATGACAATACCAGACAGTAGTAAAAATTAGGCCTAATAGCATTTTGGTTTAAATTGTATGCCTTTGTTGGCATTGCATCTGTACTTACTGTTTGCTGAAGAAGCTCCTTAATCATTTGAATTGTTTATTAGTCTGATTAAATGTTGTCTCTCAGCCCTCTCCATGTTTGATAGGTAACTGTTAGGCTTCTGGATCATTCTCCAATTGACTCTACTTCCATCTTGTTAACCACATCCTTTCTTGGTGGGATATGTCCCCTTTTCTTTTGTTGCTGGACCGTGGGGGTAGAGCACACTGAACTCTCCTTTGCTGAAGTGTCTTAACTTTTCAAAATGCCTAATGATACCCATTAGATTAAGTCTTGGTAAATATTATAGTGAATCTTTCCCTCTCTCAGGATCCTGGCATCTAAGTTAGAACGTTGGCTTCAGTGCATGTTAATGCGGCACCCCAGACAGAGAGGTACAGATCCCCAGAATCCAGATGTGGGTTGTTTCCAGGCACTAGAGGCGATCCTTAACCTTAAGGTAAGTGAACATATGAGCAGGCAATATGAAAAATCTGACTTCTTGCTTTTGATTGCAAGCCATGGATCACATGATTGTAATTATCAGATCTATTAAGTTTCTCACCAACTCTGTCGTAGCGAGCAACTGGGTTTTACAATGGTTTGACTTCTTGCCTGGGTTCTGAAAGGTGCCGCTGCCAACCTCCACTACTTCCGTCATTAGAGCTCCATTTTAAAACTTACAACAGAGGGGGAGCCAGGGCAATCTGGCACCATAATCACTGCAGGACATTGTGGTAGTTATGGTGCTCGGCTTGTTCCTTAAAAAGAAAATCTGTCAGTCATATCCATAGAGTCTCACTGCCAGATACAAATCCAAGGCAGCCTTTAGATGGAAAGAGACAGAGCTGCTTTAAACATGTGCATTTATCTGTGCTGTTTTGCTTGACTCTAGTTGTTGTCTGTGTTAAACATGGTCTCTGGCCGCGCCCATACGTATCCTGTGACAGAGGAAGAAACACTGCAGTCTCTGAAGCGGCGTTTGGAAGAAGACACTGGAATACCTGAGGAGGAGCAGGAGCTGCTGCAGGCTTCTGGCCTGGCCTGCAACCCTCTCCAACCACTGGTGCAATATGTATCAGACAACATGGTGAGAACTGTATCCCTTGGCATAACTATCTTACAAAACACAGAAATTTGTTAATTGTCAAGTATGGAGTTATCAAGCCATAGTCTTATTGAGATATACTTGTATAGATTTGTTTATTCTTTTCATGAATTGTGAGTAAGAAATATGTGTTGTTCATTAAAGTGATGAATAGAATAGCAAGTTGTATTCTCCCGCTTTCAGCAGCAAATCTATCCATTGACGTTCATGTGGTCCATCTGGTGCATAGAAGTGGAGTGTATTTAGAACAATGTTAACCTACTCTGTAACGTTGTTTGGTATTTCTCCAGCTAATGTCCCTGTATCTCCTCAAATAAAACACACCAGAGAAGGCTGTGGAGAACGTGGTCTTTAGATATCTTGCTATGTTACCATGCCTTAAAACCAGTGCATCCTGTGGATCTCTGAATTTCTTTTTTCTTTTCTTTTTAAACACAGAGCAGTGATTGTCGGCAAGGTGAAGGCTATCTGATATTTCTATTTGATAACCGAAAAATGGTGTACGAACCAAAGATCTCATTGCGTCCGCACCCGGAGAGTGTCACCTATGTGTGTGAGTGACATAATAAAAGATAGTAGAGGTCATAGACGTGCCAGTGATGCATTTGGAAGATGCCAATTTGTATTAAAATA